GGCACGGCCTGGTTAGTTGTGTGATGGGAAAGCTTGATAAGGCAATGCACAGTTCAGTATAGCACAGTTCACTGTGCTATACACACAGCAATTTAAAGTGCTGAACAAGAGAGAAACAGTCTCACAAGGCAAATCTTAGATTATCACCGTACATCAAAAATGTATAATGTATGTAAATGTGTTTTGCATCCCAATATATTTCAATTAATCAAACTGTATATAAAGAGCCCTTTACAACACTCAAGGCGAACAAAGGGCTTTACAATGAAATCACATAAAATCCATAAAACAATAAAACAGTGAAAAAGTATTTAAAAAAGCATTCACTCACTAATGTTTTTGCCTTTAGAGTTCAACTGGTCAGAGTTTCATAATAATAATAAAAACAATTATAATGCAAAGGAAAAGATTACAGCAAATTTGTAATAATGATTAAATAAAAAAGATAAAAAAAATACACATATGAAAAAAGATTCACCTTATTACTGTCTGAATAAAAGACTTTTGAACCTGGATTTAAAAAGGCCAAAATCAGTGAGTCAGTGAGTTGTTCCAGAGTCTGGGTCCAGCAATCACCTCAGTGTTTGGACTTATAGTCAAATTCACCCAGGCTTTGGATGCTCAATGACCTGCTTCGCCCCCTGGTGGCCGTGTGTGTAACAGCAGCGCTTGTGTGTTGGTGTTGCAGTGATAGCAGCAGGTCTCTGAATGCGAGGCTCATTATCATTCCCTGAACCTGCTCCATTTGACCTTTAGAGCCGCGGTGAACGTGTGCATGTCCCGCTCTTATTAGCACCTTTCACCGCTTATACTCCGCACGGACCGCCCCACTGCGATGACACCACCTGAAAATGGAGCGGTCGATATATCCGAGAGCGCCCGAAGACTTTGTACTTGTCTTGTCACAATAACAAATTTGATGTAGAGAAAAAATTTGGCAAAAGATCATATTGAAACGTCAATTGTCTACAGCTCAGATCTGAGAGTATATGCCTGTTTTTGTTACATTTTCAGTCTTGCCGCATCGCTCTGCACTGCAAGGTCTATTCAGATATAGTTAGCGATCAGCAGATTTTGTTTCCTCTGTGCAATGATGCTTGTGCAAAATCTAAAATCTGGAACAGTCTTTCTGAAAATAGGAGACAGGCTGCTTTTTGGCAATGTTTTAATCCAGGTTAAAAGCAGTTCTGTTTAGTTGCAGACAACTGAGGGATTGTATCTTCACTTTTATGTATGTGCTATTTGATTATACAGTATATATTTTTATATTTTGTTTTGTAAAATACTTTGAGTTGCCTTGTGTATGAAAAGTGAACTTGCCTTGTACAACACTTAAAAACTTGATTATTGTGAATTGGTTTAACACCGTTTTGAGTTTGGAGAATTGATGTGAAGCTAAAGCAGGAATTGAGACCAGAAGTCAGTCTTACCTTCCACTCTGAGTCCTCCCTCTACTATACACCTGCCTCTCAAACAGTGCCCCTCACTCCTTGCATCAATCTACTGTTCGTGCAGCAACCCACCTCCTCCCCATCACCTACATAAACATTCATTATCCGCACACACAACAAGACACGGGCCCAAATCTTAACTATACACCTATTTCCCATTCAATACACACACAGAGACACAGACACACACACACACACACACATACACAAACACACACACAAACGCCCAAACACTTTCTGACCATACACCTCTCTCCCACTACTCGCTATAGCACTCTCGCCTCTCAGCAGGAAGGTCCTGGGTTGGAATCCCGGTTGGAACAGAGTCTGTCTGAGTCTTTCTGACCAAGCCGAGCATCAACTTCTGGAGATGGGGTCCCGGGCGCTGTACTACGGCGACCACTGCTCCTGACGTAAGCCATAGCCGCATCAGGTTGGGTCAAATGCAGAGGATTGAATTGCTTACAGGGATTAATAAAGTGCACCTTTACCTTCTTCAGCGCTTCCTTTTGAGAGTAGATTTGTAAAAGATTTTAACATGTTTTTAAATTCAATATACATCTCTACCATCACTGAACCGACAACACACACGTATATGCAAAAAAAACCTTACGGGGTCGTCCAACTCCAAGGAGCTGACAGTGGCCAAGAGAGGCCTGATGTAATGGAACGAGGCTGTGGTGGATCGATGGCAGCCAGTGATCGCACACAGACAAAGGTTGTTTAGTTGCAGGCAGCACTAATTGAAATCAATGGCTAATCTGATGACAGTTCTTAACCTTTACACCTGAGAGGATTCATAAATGTAGAGTGCGGAGGAGCCAGCTGCTGTTCTCTAGTTCAGTCTCTTTTATCCAGCGCACCTTTGTGTTTCTGCTGACTCACACGTTCCGAGAGATGCCTAACGAAGCCATTCGCCGCCAACTGATCAATACAGACGCAGGGAACGCCGAGCAGGCACTGTGTCTTCACTACTAACAGACAACGCAATTTATCGGAAAATGTTGGGCTATTTACTCTTGGCGTTTGGAAGCTCGGGGAGAGTTGTAGCTATACTGTCTCTCCAGCGGTGTGGGAAAATACGTTTGTTAACTCCATAGGCGCGTCAAGCCTTTCACTTGTTAAGAAAGCAAGTGTCCTGCCCAAAGGTGCCCCTAAAGTAAAAATAATAATAAATGGGGTGGGATTAAAAAAGTTCTAAATGTCCTTCCTGCTCCAGTTCAGGCAAAAAAATGTTTTGATTTTGTTATAGGTATGTTTTTATGATAACAGCAACTGAGGTGCTCATATATGTTTGTCTGAAATAATTAAATAGATAAATTAGTAATAATGAAAATAATAATGCATTGGTTTTATTCAGCACATATTTTGGACACTCAAAGACGCTTCACGTCATTATTCATTCACCCCGTGGTGATAAACTCCTACAGTAGCCACAGCTGCCCTGGGGCACATTGAGACAAGTGAGGCAACTATAAACGAATCACTCACACACCAGACTCATTGTGGGCAATGTGGGTGAAGTGTCTTGCCTAAGAACACAGCTACAGTTTTGCACTTTACAGCCACAGCCGCCCCACACCTGGTGTTCCCAGAGGTCTCCCATCACAGTACTAACCTGCTTAGCTTCAGAGGTCTGCCTGGATATGGCTTTCATATGAGAGTATGGCTACAAGTTCTCACCAATGCAGACCAGGATAGAATCAAATACTTATTTACGAGATTCTTTTTTTGTCCCACAGTGGGAAAATTTCAGTGTTGCATCACCTGTTACACAACAGTAGGAATTAGGAGCACACAAAAGTAAATGAGAATAAAATAAAATATCTAACTTGCATAACATAAAAAAAAGCAAGCATAAAATACCAGATTTAAGCAGATTTAAAGATAAGATAAGATGTACATGACACATTTGGCTTATATATAATCAAGTATGCAACAATACCTTTTTCAAACAAATATTTTTAGCCAAAAAAATCTACTTCCTTCACAAACAATGTCACATCAAAAATCCTTTAAAAAACTTGCTTGTATTTTTTTGGAGACTTGTCACGACAGTAAAACACATTACACAAACTTACTCTTCTTCTACAATATACTCTGGTCCCCCTCTATCCCAGAACATGTAAGTCATTTAACTTATAATGGATTAGTTCACTGAGGAGATGGTGATGTCACATGAGGCCATTGGAAGAAGATGTAATTTCTGCTGCTGCACACGGGTCAAATGAAAGCAGTGTCCATCAAATCCAACCGAAACCCAATTTCCATGCAATTACATACAATGTCTTTAAAAGCACCTGTTAATTGATCGCGAGGCTCGAGAATGGTGTGTGTGCTCGAGTGTGTGTGTCTATGTGTGTGTGTGTGTTTGTCTGTGTGTGTGCGCAGAGAGGAAACCATTCGGACTGACAGCGCCGTGCAGAAAGATGGGACTGAGAGCGGACATTTTAATCTCTAAGCATCAATATCCCATCAGGCAGTGGGGCAGCGGAGGAGATGTGGCCAGGACGTGTCGCAAACAAATTGTCGTGGAGAATCATAAGAAAAGTTGTGAGGCTGATTGGCCATCGAGCCGCGTCGCTTTCAATCAGAGTGAAGGCTTTACCGGATCATTTCCTGTCACGGAGAAGAAAGCAGGTGGTTATTCTATTTTACAGTCCATTTGTTTGAGACGAATATGCATCTGGGAAGTTGTGAAGGAGAGGCTCCGCAGGTTTTTCTTTCCTGCTGTTGTCAGACTGTACAACGAACAATGCCGACCTGGCTTCACATGTCGTGCATCTGTGCAATAACTCGAACTAATGTCAGAATGTGCAATTTAGAACCACATGTGTTCACTATCACTTTACTGAGTCACTTTGTACCATAGCCTCAAGCTGCTAACAAGCTGCTAACAAGCTGCTAACATGTACCGATTTATCCAATAAAACAAAAATCCAAGTTCAGCCCTACTCAACACACTGCTGGAGAGAATGCGGGGAAGCATCAGCAGAGCACGGACACATTTTCTGGTCCTGTCCGCTCATTCAGTCATTCTGGACAGACTTAGACAGTATAATTCTAAAACATTGGGCTACAGCATCAATAACTCATTTTTGGTGCTGTACTGTATGTGGGATGTTTACCCAACAACATGGCCACAGGTGATTTATACCTTGACAAAATTCTACTGGCTTCAGCCGAGGAGTTCATAACAAACAACTGGTTGCAGAAACACGCACCTACTGTAAAGCTTTTCATTTCAATTGTGGAAAATATTAAACTCATGGAGCGGCTGACCGACACTTTGCGACTCCAGAAAGAAATGGGAAAAAGGCGCTGGGCAAAGTGGCTGGACTTTTTAAACAGTGACAGTACAGAGACGGTACAACAAATGTGAATCGTAGACTCAATGTTCTGTATTTTCGTCTTATATAAGTAAAAATATATATAAAAATAACGTAACACAGTAAAGAGTCTGATTGTAATGTTTATTGAACAGAATGACAGTAGGTGTTCTATAATGTCTCCTGGTATCACAGACATCCAGGCCACGCCCACATGGTCCTACTCTGGTTCCTCTCCAGAACCAGAGTCACAGACCTCAAAGAACCGGTCCAGGGTTCTTCTGTTCCTGCAGGAGCGGTCTGCGGCTCTGTACACTCTGGAATCACAGAGAGGGATCACAGCAAGACCAGAGAGGGATTGGAGAGAGACCAGAGAGAGAGACCAGAGAGAGAGACCAGAGAGAGAGGCCAGACAGAGGGACCAGAGAGAGACCAGAGAGTGATTAGAGAGAGGGACCAGAGAGAGAGACCAGCGCGAGACCAGAGAGGGATCAGAGAGAGACCAGAGAGAGAGACCAGAGAGAGGCTAGAGAGAGGGACCAGAAAGAGAACAGAGAGTGATTAGAGAGAGAGACCAGAGAGAGAGACCAACGCGAGACCAGAGAGAGACCAGAGAAAGACCAGAGAGATATCAGAGAGAAAACAGAGAGAGAGACCAGAGCAAGACAAGAGAGAGACCAGAGAGAGACCAGAGAAAGACAAGAGAGAGACCAGAGAGAGAGACCAGAGAGAGATCTGAGATAGACCTGAGAGAGACCAGAGAGAGACCAGAGAGAGACCTGAGAGAGACCAGAGCAAGACAAGAGAGAGACCAGAAGTTAAAACTCTGTCTTAAAGTAAAGGACTCACTGTAAGAAGAGGTCACTGCGAACAAAGCAGTCCACGTCGTCTTTGATGTCGTCATCTGCAAACTCTGCACACAGTTAAAGCTCAGGTGTGTAACCTACAAAACACAACAATGTATACAGTAGTAGATGGACAAGAAGAAGCAGGTTTATTTGTATAGCTCATTTCATTTCATACTAACATCTCTCTCTAGTCTCTCTCTCTGGAGCCTCTCTCTGGTCTCTCTCTCTGGAGCCTCTCTCTGGTCTCTCTCTCTGGAGCCTCTCTCTGGTCTCTCCCTTGTCTCTCTCTGGTCTCTTTCTGGCCTCTTTGTTCTCTCTCTAGTCTCTCTCTGACCTCTCTCTGGTCTCTCTTTCTGATCTCTGGTCTCTCTCTCTGGTCTCTCTTTGGTCTCTGATGTATGCTGATTTTTATTATGCCTTACTCTATTCTCTATTCTTTACCTCTCTTTCTGACTGTTGCACGGAGCCAAAGCAATTTCCAAGTCTGTGACTTCCTGTTACTTATGTGGGAATAAATGATTCTGATTCTGATTCTCTAGTCTCTCTCTCTGGTCTCTCTGTTCTGTTCCCAGCATACACATGGTCTCACACCAGTGTCCACATGGTCCTTACTATAGCAGCTGCTGTGACAGAGGTCTGTGTCCCTATGGTCTGTGTCCCCATGGTCTGTGTCCCCTTGGTCTGTGTCCACATGGTCTGTGTCCACATGGTCTGATTCCACATGGTCTGTGTCCCAATGGTCTGTGTTCACATGGTCTGTGTCCCAATGGTCTGTGTCCCTATGGTCTGTGTCCCCATGGTCTGTGTCCCCATGGTCTGTGTCCCCATGGTCTGTGTCCCCTTGGTCTGTGTCCACATGGTCTGTGTCCACATGGTCTGTGTTCACATGGTCTGTGTCCCAATGGTCTGTGTCCCTATGGTCTGTGTCCACATGGTCTGTGTCCACATGGTCTGTGTCCCTATGGTCTGTGTCCCCATGGTCTGTGTCCCAATGGTCTGTGTCCCAATGGTCTGTGTCCCCATGGTCTGTGTCCACATGGTCTGATTCCACATGGTCTGTGTCCACATGGTCAGTGTCCACATGGTCTGTGTCCACATGGTTTGTGTCCACATGGTCTGTGTCCACATGGTCAGTGTCCACATGGTCTGTGTCCACATGGTTTGTGTCCACATGGTCAGTGTACACATGGTCTGTGTCCACATGGTCTGTGTCCACATGGTCTGTGTCAACATGGTCTGATTCCACATGGTCTGTGTCCCTATGGTCTGTGTCCACATGGTCTGAGTCCACATGGTCTGTGTCCCTATGGTCTGTGTCCCCATGGTCTGTGTCCCAATGGTCTGTGTCCCCATGGTCTGTGTCAACATGGTCTGATTCCACATGGTCTGTGTCCACATGGTCAGTGTCCACATGGTCTGTGTCCACATGGTCTGTGTCCACATGGTCTGTGTTCACATGGTCTGTGTCCCAATGGTCTGTGTCCCTATGGTCTGTGTCCACATGGTCTGTGTCCACATGGTCTGTGTCCCTATGGTCTGTGTCCCCATGGTCTGTGTCAACATGGTCTGATTCCACATGGTCTGTGTCCACATGGTCAGTGTCCACATGGTCTGTGTCCACATGGTTTGTGTCCACATGGTCTGTGTCCACATGGTCAGTGTCCACATGGTCAGTGTCCACATGGTATGTGTCCACATGGTCAGTGTCCACATGGTCAGTGTTCACATGGTCTGTGTCGACATGGTCAGTGTCCACATGGTCTGTGTCCACATGGTCAGTGTTCACATGGTCTGTGTCCACATGGTCAGTGTCCACATGGTCAGTGTCCCCATGGTCCATACCATAGCAGCTGCTGTGACAGAGGTCGTCTGTGGCCCTGTATCCAGAGTCACAGTGGCTCTTGTCGGAAAGCTGGAAGACTCCAAACTGTTTCACTGAGACCACAGTGGTGAAGGCCCTCTCCATCCACCCTCCTTGCCCTCTCCTGGTGGAGTTTGAGACCCCGGGGGGTGTAGAAGGAGGAGCCCGGCTAGGGTAGGTGCTGGAGGAGGTGGAGGAGGTGGTGGGAGGTGCAGGAGTCGAGGAGGCTGTGGTGGCTTCAGTTGTGGAGCTGGGTGCTGGGTGTTCTGGGTGAGGAGTGGAGGAGGGAGGAGGAGGTGGAGGTGTAGATGAGTCTGGGTGAGAAGATTCTCTCCTTGTGGTAGAATTATAGACAACACTTGTGGGGAAATGACTGGTGTGAGAAGGAGCAGGAGGAGTAGAAGAAGAAGAAGGAGGTGGAGGAGTAGAAGATTCTGGGTGAGGAGTTTCTCTCCTTGTGGTGGAATCATAGACAATACTAGTGTGAGGAGTAGAGGAGGGGGGAGCAGATGAGGAGGAGGGAGTAGAGGAGGAGGGAGCAGAGGAGGAGGAGGGAGTAGAGGAGGAGGAGGGAGTAGAGGAGGAGAAGAGAGGAGGAGGAGGGAGTAGAGGAGGAGGGAGTAGAGGAGGAGGAGGGAGTAGAGGAGGAGGAGGGAGTAGAGGAGGAGGGAGTAGAGGAGGAGGGAGCAGAGGAGGAGGAGGGAGTAGAGGAGGAGGGAGCAGAGGAGGAGGAGGGAGTAGAGGAGGAGGGAGCAGAGGAGGAGGGAGTAGAGGAGGAGGAGGGAGTAGAGGAGGAGGAGGGGAGTAGAGGAGGAGGAAGCAGAGGAGGAGGAGGGAGTAGAGGAGGAGGGAGTAGAGGAGGAGGAGGGAGTAGAGGAGGAGGGAGCAGAGGAGGAGGAGGGAGTAGAGGAGGAGGGAGCAGAGGAGGAGGGAGTAGAGGAGGAGGAGGGAGTAGAGGAGGAGGGAGCAGAGGAGGAGGAGGGAGTAGAGGAGGAGGGAGCAGAGGAGGAGGAGGGAGTAGAGGAGGAGGGAGCAGAGGAGGAGGAGGGAGTAGAGGAGGAGGGAGTAGAGGAGGAGGGAGCAGAGGAGGAGGAGGGAGTAGAGGGGGAGGTGCTGGAAGTCGTGGTGTCATCAAAGTCAATTTCTTGGTAGAATTCTCGTACGAAGTTTGTGTTGCGATGAGAATGTTGCTCCAATTCACAGATCACTGCAGACATCAAAGGTACAGTATTACATTTCTGACTCTGAGAAGCACAGGGACTGGCCTCCTGCTGGGACTCTGAGGAGCACAGGGACTGGCCTCCTGCTGGGACTCTGAGGAGCACAGGGACTGGCCTCCTGCTGGGACTCTGAGGAGCACAGGGACTGGCCTCCTGCTGGGACTCTGAGGAGCACAGGGACTGGCCTCCTGCTGGGACTCTGAGGAGCACAGGGACTGGCCTCCTGCTGGGACTCTGAGGAGCACAGGGACTGGCCTCCTGCTGGGACTCTGAGGAGTACAGGGACTGGCCTCCTGCTGGGACTCTGAGGAGCACAGGGACTGGCCTCCTGCTGGGACTCTGAGGAGCACAGGGACTGGCTTCCTGCTGGGACTCTGAGGAGTACAGGGACTGGCCTCCTGCTTGGACTCTGAGGAGCACAGGGACTGGCCTCCTGCTGGGACTCTGAGGAGCACAGGGACTGGCCTCCTGCTGGGACTCTGAGGAGCACAGGGACTGGCCTCCTGCTGGGACTCTGAGTCCCATCATTACGCGCATATGCACGTAATTTTTTGTGTGCAGTATCTACACAGGCCGTGCGCGCAGGTCCGCGGCTTCTGATGCTGTCCCTGTGTAGTCTATGGAGCAGTGTAGAGGACAGTACAGAGGACCGATGTAGAGCAACACAAATCACATGTATGTGTCTGTCTTCATGGTCTCTGTGCGCTGGTTTGGCCAGATGCCAGACTTTATGAAAGAAAAAAAACCATGTCCAGAATCACTGTAAAACTTGCCAGTCCTCCTCCTAATGTTTAGATACAAGTGCTGTGTGTGTGTATGTGTTTCAATGGGAGACTAAATTAGAAATCCATCCTAAATTAGGTGCAGCCTCGGGTCATACGTCCGTCACACGCGCGTATAACACTAGTAGTATAAAAATATCACCATTGGTTAACATAGAAAATGTTAACCAACGTACGTGCTGTAACGCCTCCTGTGTAAATTAGTAGTAAGTAGGGACTGAGAGACATTTATTGTGGAATGCACAGATGGCTCAGACATGCAGTTCATGCACGGCGGCCCAGGAATTTAAGTAAGTAATGTTTATTTATATAGAGTCACAAAGTTACATGTGTCTTTATGCAGGCACATGGAGAACATGCAATCTCCACTCTCTCTGGTCTCCCTCTGGTCTCCCTCTGGTCTCCCTCTGGTCTCTCTCTGGTCTCTCTCTGGTCTCTCTCTCTGGTCTCTCTCTCTGGTCTCTCTCTGGTCTCTCTATCTCTCTGGTCTCCCTCTGGTCTTTCTCTCTCTGGTCTCTCTCTGGTCTCTCTCTCTGGTCTCTCTCTGGTCTCCCTCTGGTCTCTCTCTGGTCTCCCTCTGGTCTCTCTCTGGTCTCTCTCTGGTCTCTCTCTGGTCTCTCTCTGGTCTCTCTCTCTCTCTCTCTCTCTCTCTGGTCTCCCTCTGGTCTCTCTCTGGTCTCCCTCTGGTCTCCCTCTGGTCTCCCTCTGGTCTCTCTCTGGTCTCTCTCTGGTCTCTCACTCTCTGGTCTCTCTCTCTCTCTCTGGTCTCCCTCTGGTCTCTCTCTGGTCTCTCTCTCTCTGGTCTCTCTCTGGTCTCTCTCTGGTCTCTCTCTGGTCTCTCTCTGGTCTCTCTCTGGTCTCTCTCTGGTCTCCCTCTGGTCTCCCTCTGGTCTCTCTCTGGTCTCTCTCTGGTCTCTCTCTGGTCTCTCTCTGGTCTCCCTCTGGTCTCCCTCTGGTCTCCCTCTGGTCTTCCTCTGGTCTTCCTCTGGTCTTCCTCTGGTCTCGCTGTGGTCTCACCTCTGGCCGCTGTGCGCTCTGGGTTCCTCCTCAGGGATTTGGAGAGTTCCACACGTTTGAGGAGTTCATCGCGGAGCTCACAGCGAGACACCAACCGAGCCTGAGACAAGGAGGAGGCCAGGAGGACCAGGAGGAGCAGGACATGGTGGGAGGAGCAGGAGGAGGCCACAGGCTTCATCTGCAGAACACACAACCAGAGTTACACCAGGGACTGTGTGAGGGGGAGAAAAGACAGAGATAGAGACCAGATAGAGACCAGAGACCGACCAGAGAGAGACCAGAGAGAGACCAAGAGAGAGACCAGAGAGAGAGACCAGATAGAGACCAGAGATAGAGACCAGAGAGAGATCAGAGAGAGACCAGAGAGAGACCAGAGAAAGACCAGATAGAGACCAGAGATAGAGACCAGAGAGAAAGAGATCAGAGACAGAGACCAGAGAGAGACCAGAGAGACCAGAGAAAGACCAGAGAGAGACCAGAGAGAGAGACCAGAGAGAGACCAGAGAAGAGACCAGATAGAGACAGAGAGAGACCAGAGAGAGACTAGAGAGAGACTAGAGAGATAGAGAGAGACCAGAGAGAGACCAGATAGAGACCAGAGATAGAGATCAGAGAGAGACCAGAGAGAGACCAGAGAGAGACCAGAGATAGAGACCAGAGAAAGACCAGAACAGAGGGACCAAAGAGAGACCAGAGAGACTAGACAGAGACCAGACAGAGACCAGAGAGAGACCAGAGAGACCTGAGAGAGACCTGAGAGACCAGAGAGAGACCTGAGAGACCAGAGAGAGACCTGAAAGACCTGAGAGAGACCTGAGAGACCAGAGAGAGACCTGATAGAGACCAGAGATAGAGATCAGAGAGAGACCTTAGAGACCAGAGAGACCAAAGAGAGATCAGAGAGAGACCTGAGAGACCAGAGAGAGACCTGAGAGACACCACAGAGGAAAGATCCAGGTCTTACCTTCAGTCGCAGGTGAAGAGTCTTCTGTGCTACACCCAAATCATCCAGTATTTAAAGCAGATCTTAGACCGGTTGGTCCTGGTCCAGCCCTGGTCAAGGTCCTGGTTTAGGTCCTGGTCTAAGTCCTGGTCTGTCAGTGGGTCTTAGCACATGTGTACACAGCAGACAATGACAGAGGACTGTTTCCTGGTTCATGTCACTTAAAGGAAAATTACATATTATAGTTATGTATGTATACACTCTATAGGTGTGTGTGTGTGTGTGTGTGTGCGAGTGTGTGTGTGTGCGTGAGTATGTGTGTGTTTGTGTCTGTGTGTTTGTGTGTGTGTGTACTGACTCCACCTGTGTTCTCCCTGTGCCTCTTTGTGTGGGATATGCATGTTCTCCCTGTGCCTCTCTGTGGGGGGTTTGCATGTTCTCTCTGTGCCTCTCTGTGGGGAGCTAGGATGATTTCCCGGTGCCTGGGTTTCCTCTGTGTGCTCCGGTTTCCCCTAGAAACATGTACAATGTTATGTATTGCCATAACATACAACACAGTATTATGAATAAATCTACAAGTAGTGGTATCTTCAGGGATTCTCTCTCTCTGGTCCCTCTCTGGTCTCTTTCTGGTCTCTCTCTCTGGTCCCTCTGCTCTGCTCTCTCTCTCTCTGGTCTCTCTCTGGTCTCACTCTCTCTGGTCTTTTTCTGCTCTCTCTCTGATATCTCTTCTTTGTGTAACGTATTTAAGTATACATATATAGTGTACATATATACACATACACACACTATATACACTTTTGCACTGAACTCTGTGTACAGTCATTTGGACAATGCAAAATCTCTGGCCAGAATACTATTCATTGATTATAGCTCTGCTTTTAACTGTCTAGTCCCTGGTAAACTGGTTGATAAACTCAGATCCCTCGGGCTGTGCGAAGCCATGTGTAAATGGATTTACAGCTTTCTCACGGGCAGATCTCAGAGAGTTAGAATCATGGCCGTCTCTCAGGTGAAACGTTTACTGGATCTCCTCAGGGGTGTAGTCCTCTGCTTTTCACATTGTACACCCATGACTGTGTTGCTTCTTCTGACTCAAATTTGATCATTAAGTATGCAGACGACACCACCATTATCGGTCTTATCATCGAGAACGACAAATCCTCATACAGAACAGAGGTTGAGAATGTTGTCAACTGGAGTACAGACAAAGTAAACCTCCTCTTGAACACGTCCAAAACATGTGAACTGGTGTTCGGCTTCAGTCGAGGTTACTCTCACTCCCACTCACCTGTACATTCGTGGTCACTCCCACTCACCTGTACATTTGTGGTCTCTCTCACTTGTTGTTCAGATGGAGAATTTCAAAATTAGTTTTACAGCCCCCTAAATGTTGATATTGTCCACATTTTGGACAGTGACAAAACTCCTGTCACTTAGCAAGGCAGAGGGCCATATAAAATGAGAGACCGGGCTGCAATTGGCTCGCAGGCCTCAGTTTGGTCTCAGTTTGGACTACTTCTCACTTCTACTTCTCACATCTCCAAAAAAGGATGCAAATTGGACACGCTCTTCGATGAAGATGAGGCCAAAGATACTGAAAATACAGAAATTGGGAAGTACATTTTCATTTTAGAAGTGGCTCTCGTCCAATAACATTAATTTGGTTTTCTCATGCACTAAACAGTCATTTTCCTCCAACCAGAGTAGTTTTTCATACCTGAAGTTTGGTCTGTGCATACGTCGCTTCTTCACCGTTAATGTTTTGTTTTCACCGGTCTCACAGAAGTACATGGGGCCAGTAAACATCCTCTGGAGACACAGTGTTAATAATACACAACAGGCTCAACTTCAAATGCGCCGCCAGTGGAGGAGCACAAGTCTGGACACAGCAGGTGAAAACGCATTATTTATGTTCTTTGATAGCTGAACTTCTAACCCAGGGGAAATATTATGTGCAATAAACGTGTGTATCAGGCTTAAGGGAAGTGCACATGGGAAAAAAGTCTGTTTCCAATGGTCCGAGAACCGTTTAATGGTCCTCTCGGGTTTTTGTTGGTCCGGTTTGGTGAATAAATGTATTGTGGAGTCTGTGTAATTATGTGTGACTCTGTCCCAAGACACATTTCTGATCATATGGCCCAGGACTCCCTTGATAAAAAAACGAGGTGATAATTGCTTTAATCGACTTGTTTTTTGTACTTTCTGAATCTTTTAAAACAGTCATTTAGTCTTATTTCAAGAACTGTTGTTTTATTGCCTTCTTTCTATAGGGAGACATGTATTAAGAAACACAAATGTCTTTATAAAACAACATCATCTTTGCTAGTCTCGTTGGAAAATTTTGCTCAAATTAAGACACATTTTTGCCAAATTTCAGCAATTTTTTGGACAAATGTTTTATCACTTTTTACAGTGAACTTCTGGGCTTCTGAGCTTTCTGTCTTCCAAATTCATTTTCTCAATCAAATAATAGTGTTTGGCACGTCTTTTGCCTTTCACGCATATACAACAATCTATTATAATGTATTAGTGCACAAAAAAATTGCATTTTTGATAGTTGTATAATGTAGTTATTCAGCATATTTTCCATTCTACAGTAAATCCATTGGGGAGCTGCTTTGGAAAAGGGTCGCAAGCTACAGTTTACTCCTGAGCTATAGGTTGAGACCCCTGACATAGAGCCATTGGTCCATAAGGGGCAGATGACCAATGTCCATAAATGTCATTCATCCATCCATCCATTGTCTTCTACTTCATCCGTTGCCGGGGTCGCGGGGGGCAGCAGTCTAAGCAGAGACGCCCAGACTTCCCTATCCACACACACTTCCTCCAGCTCATCCGGGGGAATTACTATTGCAACAACACACCATCAGTAGGGTAAAACTAACCTGTCTCACGACGGTCTAAATGTCCATAATTGTCAATAGATTAGAAATGACAAAAGAATAGCAGTGTTAACAGCAGAACTCAGATAAGGCTCACTCCTCACTACTAATGACCAGTCACTCCGAAAGCAGGCATTATCCCATCTAATTGTTGCCTCATTTGAAATCCAAACAGCGCTCTTTCTCTGAGTGAGTTTGATTCATGCAAAGACACACACACACTGATCCCTCTCTAATCCCTGCTTCGGCCGGGACAAGGACACAATGACAACTTAAGACCCGCGCCTCAAACTTCGCTAAACAGTCTGTTGACCGATCACAAAGGCACTTCATGGATTCAAAATGGATGCTTTTGATTCATCGGGATCCGTCCCATCAGCTCACGGACAAATAAATCCCCAACGCGGTGACATTTGGCTAACAGATCCAGCAACTGACATTCACTGAGGTTTGTTTGTTGCTACGTTTGCGGAGGTTGAGCCGATTCAACGACCACAACTTATTTAGATATACACTATTAGCAATAATACATGTGGTAGAGCCTCAGAGCTGCAGCGTGTGGCCTCTGTCCTCGTTCTACAGCCTGAGTCCTCGATCTATAGCTTGAGGTTTCTCATTATTCTCGCACTGCGTTTTTTTAGAGTTTTACGTTGTCAATGCATGAGACAGTGGTGATGATCCAGGACATTCTCGACATTCAATGACATTTATGGATTTTATCAACATTTATCGACATTGGTCATCTGCTCCTTATGGACCAAAGTTTCTATGTTTTTCTTTTTTTTTTTTATATCATTGCATTTCTTGTGTTTGAACGGTTTGATTCTCTGATCTGTGTTGACGAATTCAATGGTTTTGTAAAGTCCTCCAAGATAACTACTGTTGTAATTATGGGCTATTCAAGATTGTATTGAATTTGTTCCAATTGAAAGAGTCTTGTAAAAGCAAAACGTTCCGAACAAATTAGACCGCAGCCTGCTTCCTTCCTCTTCATAGAAAAAGTAGTAAGTAAGTAAGTAATCTTCATTTATATACCGCCTTTCACAGACCAGAGTCACAAAGCGGTTTACAATTGTTATCATTTTTGGGCACTTGTCCTCTCACTCCACACAGAGATGGGAGCGGGGTCGCCAGTACAGGAGGCGCATGCCAGACCTATTGTACATATTTTTAGTGATAGGGGAAACCGGAGCACCCGGAGGAAACCTACGCAGACACAGGGAGAACATGCAAACTCCACTCAGAAAGGCCCTGGTCCGACCGGGATTCGAACCCAGGACCTTCTTGCTGAGAGGGTAGAGTGCTATCCACTCAGCCACCGAGCTCTTTCTTACAAACAATAATAATGTTTGTAAGAAAGAGCTCTGTGAGTCATTGTTGGGGCTGAGAGCTGATTGGCTGAGTGAGGGTGGTCCTCTATTTTTAGATGTGACAGAGGCCAAAAATACATCCAGGAGAAAACAATGTTGAACTAAACTGTTTTCAGAGTGTGGAATTGGCTTGAAATATTTAACTACGTAATTTAGTTTTCTGTGGTTTGAAAGTTATGTACCCCAACTTAAACTAGAGCATGCATGTCCAAACTCAGGCCCGCGGGCTAATTGCGGTCCACTGTGCCATTTTATGTAGCCCTTTTGCTGCTAACACAAAGTCGCCATTTAGGCACTTTGACAGTGTCATCCAACCAACTTCAGCTCCACCAATACAGTCATGCTAGACCTTGTTGGACACGGTGGTGCAGTGTGACAGCCTGAAACGTATTTGTGATGTGAAATGGGCCTTATATGAAAGTTCTGAGTGACCATGTGATGCTGCAGCACCACCTTACCAAAAAAAAAACCCTGATATATGATAGTGCAGTGTGTGAGTTTTTTTCTCTCCTGGGTCGTGAAAAAGCCCCATAACAAAATAATAGAATCACATTTTCCACGGATTGAACATTTTTTGACATTAAATAGTTTGCTACTTTTATCATTCAACACCAAGAGAGAATGTATCGAGAAGTGTGCTCAAAATGTCTAAGCTTCTGTCTCTGAGACTTGGCGAAAGACTTGAATATTTGATGAAGGGACTATAAAAAGCTGCAATAGTCTTTTGTAAGGCAGGCATCCAATCTGGCTATACAGTAAATACATGAATGAACCAAGGTTGTTCTCTCATAAAAGATGTGTCTCGTTCAAACTCCATTAGGCTGGAGGTCAGAATTACGGATACATTTGGAAAATGACTGAAGAGTGATGGAAACACAGCACAATAATAAAAGTTTGCATTGAAAGGATACAATCTAATCTAAAACAAGAAGCGATGAGTCACGGTTATTGATTTGCAAAATGCTTTCCGTCACCCAGGGCCCGGCTTGTCCGACAGTGTGCCAGCTGGAGACTTTTTAATCAAAGTTTGAATCAGGAAAGGTTTAGATGATGCTTTTGTTTTCTATCTGTAAAAAAAAAGAGAAAAGTAGGTTTGGTCTGAGGAAGTGTAGAGTCCTGCTTAGTTTGGTCTTTGCTGCCAGTAAAAGACAAAAGTAACTCTTTTTATGCCAAATTATTCAATTCTATTCAGTCGCGTGTTATCTCGGACAAAGTTGTTGATTCGCCAACACAAATAAGAGAATCAAACGGCTTCAACACAGGAAATGCAGTGATCAAAAAGGCTAAGAATATTGGTCCATAAGTAAGCTTTAGTATTTTCAAAAATGTCTTTAAATGTCCTCAATCATCATCAACTAACGGTAACTGAAACTGAATTTGATTATGACCTTGTTTTCAGGTCAGGTTTCTTGTTCATTCCATGGACTGATCATGGACTCTTCATCGACTATCCCATGAACCGATCAAACCGATGGCGAGCTGGTAGGATAGACTTTGATATTTTTTTCCTTTTTCAAAATCCTTGGACTATGGATTAAAACTTTAAAAACATTTTTTTTTTCCAAATTCAACAACGGATTAAAAAAACATTACAGTTTTTATTTCCTAAAAACTGATTAAAAACTGAAAGCATTGAGCTTTAAAATCAAAGACTTATTTTGAGTATTGTTTTTTTTTTTGACTAATTTCTGCTATTTTTTTGGTAAATATACATTTTTAATTCAACTTCATACTTTTCTCTTATTGAGAATCCTTGATATAAAACATGGATACATTTTTTGTCTCTGTGCGTCATTCATACCACCCTCAAGCTCCTAATCGAATGTAGACTTCTGTGAACTAACCCATTAGGGATTTACAAATTAAAACATACTGTAGGTTACACATTCCTTAGACCCTCCTGCATCGGCAAAGAACAACAACAACAAAAAATCAGTAGTAAAAAAGTGAGAAACCGCGAGGCCCATATTGAGTGACTGATCCGCTCCCACAGATGGACGGGCTAAAGATCCAGGAGTCAGGCTGTAGAACAAGGATCGAGCCCACGTGGTGCAGGACTGAGGTGACTCCCAGGCCTTGGCGGACCGGGGCAGACCAGTCCACAGGCGCAGATGAAGGAGGCCAGATTCAGGGGTCCCATCATCCCGCTATGATGCAGAGAATGGGACAGCAGGTGTGTATAGGCCTTCAAGACCTTCCTTTATCAATCCAGGGGCTGAACAAATGAAAGTGAATTTCAGAATACTGGTCTCGGTGAAGCACTTTGAGTTGCCTTGTGTATGAATGGTGCTAAACAAATAAACTTACCTTGCCTTGCCTTGTTAATCACCTTAAATTAAGAGGTGCTACTCACGTTTTCAGTGATAAACGAGGCCCAGAGAGAAAGAAAGTAGTGGATTATTCACATTAAGTCCTTTCTTTTTGTAATGAGTGAGGATCAGGAGTTTGTCTGAGAAGGAAGTCAATTGAAATCTTGCTCATACTTGCATGTGAAAGCCAGATCCCATCAGAAGTCTAAAGCTAAGCTGGATAGGTCCTGGTTAGTACTGTG